GACTTTCACGCGATTTTGATGTAACATTTTAATTTTAACTTTAAAGTGTTTTTTTCCAAAAGTTTACATTTAAAAGTTTTGGTTTCGTATTTTTTTCGAGCTAATTTAATGGTATAATACATCTTTAAATACGAAATTGAGAAACTGAGGAAAAGTTATAGCTCAGTTGGATGTTGATGATGAAGTTTCATTCTCTCAGCTGGATGTTTTGGTTGTAGAGCTTACCTTGTTCTTTTGGACAATATTATCAGCACACATATTTCAGGTAGAAATAAAGTATGCGAATTCTTCACATATGACTCACAAGCTTGTTCTGTTGACCTTGATCATGATTGGTTGTATGTCCGTTTGATTCGGTTCCTGATTCTATACTTGTCAATGATTTTTCAGATTGATTGATAAATTTGATCAATATCAGTGTGTGTGTGTGTGTTGATTGCCGATTGACTTGATTCCTAAGCTTATAGTGTTCGTCATAGTGCCACTATCCAATATGTCAACATTTTTCCAATCGAATGAATGCACATAGTTGTCCGTATGTATATTGATATTAGGGAAGAAATGTCATGTCGTTTGACTGTTAATTAATATTCACGTAGACCAAGCTGAAGAGGAAACCGCAATCATTCACCTGAGCTATAAATTTTCTCTACAAATACCATGTATTTTATGTTGTAAAAATATTCTCTTCTTATGAACATAAACATTTATGTAATTTAAAATTTATATTCACATATTGAATATGAGAATGTTAAACTAATCAAGGCAATTTGAGTCAATAATCACAATAAAATGATCTATCGTACACCTCTATTATTTCCCAACGGAGTTCGATCCCGTCACCTACACATTTCAGAAGCCATAGTAATTCGTACATCGAATCCCAATTTATGTGTTCAGAAGAAATTCGTGACACCCCTATCTCTTCCGTGGCAGGGTATGACGTAACTAACTATTTAAAAAAAATTTTTTTGGTTTAAAATTTTATTTGGTTATTATTAGCATTATTTTCCCAACCTGTATTTGTTGGTAATTCTCCGCCTCTTTCCGTTTATATTCTTCACGATCTCCATAACTCTAATTGAAAATATTGTAAAATGTGCTCACTACTGACTAGCTAGTTTCATGAGGAAATTCTAGGAGTTCTAGTGAGAAAACCTTGTGACCAGTGGAGTTCAACCCTGTCGGATGTAGTCAGTCACCCACCGAAGACAAATGGATGAGGTCGCACAAAATCCCTAGATCAATCAGAGTTAGACATTAACACCGTTAGATGCCAACCAGCTCATTGGTCCAGAGGTTAGGCGTTCGCGCACAACACCGAAGGTTCCGGGTTCGAATCCTGCGAGGTCCAGGAATCGTGGATGCGCACTACCGATGAGCCCCATACCAGGACGAAACGGCCGTCCAATGCTTCCAGGTTTCTAATGGTGGTCTAACAATGATTGATTGATGATTTCAAATGTGTAAAAATACTAATCTCCATAACTCTAATTGAAAATATTTTATCCAGGTTTGACACAATATTGATAAAACTTTTGTTAACTTATTTTATTTTTCTTACTACTATCATCAGTACACCTGTCTTCCTACTTTTGCCTGTTATGTCTAGTAACGTAATCTATTTCATTTCATTGTGATGATTGACTCAAATTTCCTTGATTGGTCTGACATTTTTATATGAATACTTATTTAATATTAGTTAAATATCCTGAAATTCATCGAATTGATCATTGTTAAACCACAACTAAAAACCCAAAAGCACTGAATGCCTGTTTCGTCTCGGTACGGGACTCTTCAATAGTGCGTACCCACAACTGACTGTTACCGGATTCGAACCCAAGACAGCCGGTCTCGTACGTCAACGCCTAACCTCTGAACCACTGGACCGGCGTCCAATCTATATATATATATTCAGTTCTGAACTATGCAACAAGGCATAGAAGAAAAAAGGGAATAATATATTAACAAATCGACAAATATGCACATGATATAATAATAATAATAACATTCATTCGAAATAATCTAACAATTTGACTAAATTACGAATTATATTATGATTATTATTACTATTGTATAAATATGTTCAGTCATGCATTCACTTCGAAATCTACCGTTTTTGTCATTCGAAATCTATGTCGAGTTAATTCTTTTATTTTTTTTTCCTGAATATTTTTTCTGCATAAATAAAATATATATAGGAAAATTTTGCAAAAAAAGTTGGAGACTTGTTACTGAGGCAGTGCGTACCTCTCTCTCTATCTATATATACATACGTGTGTGTGTGTGTGGGTGAGTGTGTAAGAGAATGGGAATTCAGTGTAACCTGATTGTATATCAACGAGTAAATCACCAGCATAACTTGTATGTTTGTATGTGTGAACAAACTCACACACACACACACACACAAGAAGAAAGTTTACATAAACACAAACACAAATCAGAGAGAGAGAGAGAGAGATGTCCGTGCGTTCGATAGAAGGGCAACTGAGAACGAAGGTTGAACGAGAATACTAGCAAAGCCAACAAACGAACAAACTAACTAAAAAAAAATGAGGTTGGAAATCTGTGAGAAAAAAAACCAGTTGAATGAGATACGAAAAAAAAAATGAAAGAAGGAGAAAACAAAACAAGACGAAATGAAAATCAGTGTGTCGGTTGTAAATGGAGCATAACAAATTGTCTTGTACAAGCACTTTCACTCTCTCACTCTCTCTGTACACTTAGATATACTCATATATATATATATATATATATATATATATATATATATATATATATATATGATATTCTTAGGAAATAAATTACTTAATGTAATATCAACTTAAAGGTATGTGACGAAATAATAATAATAGTAATAATAATGAAGTCAGACACACACACACACACACCACATCCATACTTGTATATAGTTCGCTTAACTTACTGCACAACTTAAAATAGAATTAATAATTCTATTCGAAGACTAGAAAGAATCCTAACCAAAACCAATGACAATGAAATAAAGGCGCATCAACTAGAGAGGAAGAGGAAGGGAAATATATAACTAGAAACAGTTGTTAATCCGATTCTAAATAAAAAAAATCTTCATTAATTCATTACAATTCTTTCATTATTATTATGCTGATTATTATTATTATTATTATTATTATTAATACTGTCGAACTAAAACGAAACGTCGAGTTTTCTTTACTCAGGTGGTTATTTCTGTTTAATATATAAGAACTCGATTGTTTAATAGGGAATAAGTTTTTATCAGTTTTGTAACTAAGACGATATATATATATAGATATGTAAATGTGCATGAATAAACTACTTCAAAACATTTTTCTATTTGCCTCTAAATAAAAATCTGTGTCAAGTGTATAGTTGATATCATTGTTACGGTTGACGATAAGAAGTAGAGTAATAATATGATAATTATTTTATCAGACAAAATCAAACATGATAAGAATGAATTTATACAAATGAGCTGGATATAGTGTTTAAAAGGTACCTATTTGCATAATTACACTTGTTACCTAAGTGGAGCATAGGTCGCTAACCAGCATTCCCCAACACACTCTGTTCTGAACCTTCCTTGAAAATTCTACCCGATCGCTGTTCGTTCTTCTGATGCCTGTCTCTAATTCTCGGCACAACGTGTTCCTTGGTCTACCATCTTTCCTTTGTCCTAGAGGGTTTCAAGTGAGGGCTTGTCTTGTGATGCAGTTGGGCGCTTTCCTCAATGTATGTCCTATCCGCTGTCAGCGCTTCTTCCGGATTTCCTCCTCCACTGGATTCTGGTTTGTTCCCTCCCACAGTAGGTTGTTGCTGCTAGTGTCTGGCCAACCGATCCGAAGTATTTTGCATAGAAAACTGTTAATAAGTACTTGTATCTTCTGGATAATGGATTTGGTAGTTCTCCAAGTTTTCGCCCGATATAGCAGAAATGTCTTGACATTAGCATTGAAAATTCTAATTTCGGTATTGGTTGTTAGTTGTTTTGAGTTCCACATGTTCCCCAGTTGTAGAGATGCTGACACTGCTTTGGCGGGCAGCACCTTCACATCTGTATCAGATCTACCTTGCTCATGAATGGTGCTGCTCCAGATATGGAAAGGTATTAACGTTCTCCAAGGCATTTCCATCAAGTGTTATTCTGTTGGTGCATGTTGTGTTGTTTTGGAGAATCTTGCTTTTTACCCTGTTTACATTGAGACTTACTGCTGCAGAGGCTGCTACTACTCTACCCCTCTTCACCTGCATTTGTTGTTGTGCATTGGATAGAAGAGCCAGATCTATTGAAAAGTTCAGGTCATCAAGCTGCATCTTAGCCGTCCACTGTATCCCACCATGTTTCCCTCCAGAGGTATACATCTTCATAGTCCATCCAACCACCAGGAGAAAGAGAAACGATGAAATCAAGCAACCTAGTATGAAAAGTTCTGGTTACTTCTAGTTATTTATCTGGACACCGCATGATGTTTTACAAGAAACCCTTCTCTGTGAATGAACAAGGGCTAATTGATGAACGGAATCAAATGTAACCATACGTTTAAGGTCTTCAGTATCCATCACTAATGGTTAAACTTTGACAGGATGTATAATAGTTGAATAGTAATTGCTTTTAGTAACACTGAAATGTAACAAATAAACGAGAATTAGCAATAAAAACTGAAATGAACTCAAATTCAAAAAGTTCTATTCGATGAATAGAATGAGAATACAAATAATTTATTTAAATCATTAGAAATCTGAGTTAATTCAAAGTAGGCGCTTCATCAAGTAGTCTTCTTCATGTTGATCGTTTTAATTCACTAACATGAGATAATAATAACACCATGAAATTTAGGAACATTCAACATTGAATAAAATTGTTTCTGACAACAAAGATGGTAATAAGTTTTATTGAAATTCGATCAATAAATGTGACAAATAATTTCTACTTTTGTTATGACTAAGTATTAAGCTTCGATTTATGATATCTTCATTTTGATTTTTTTTTAAATATTTCAAAGGACATGGTGGAATCAATCAACTTGGAGGTGTTTTTGTCAACGGGCGACCATTGCCGAATCAAATCAGACAACAAATAGTTCAACTGGCCAATCAAAATGTACGACCTTGTGATATTAGTAGACAATTAAGAGTTTCACATGGTTGTGTGAGTAAAATTTTAGGACGGTAAGTATATTTTTATTTATTGTGATTAACTATAAATGAATGAATGAGATTTTTGAGTATTAACCAGTGTTTTTTTAGACAATTATTAGGCATCGATTACTTACAGTTTATAAGAAGTAATTTGAAAGGTTTGTAGATATTTATAAACCCATTACTACCATCCTTCATGCCTGACTTGTTATCGTGATTATCTAAATGAAGCTCATTTACCCTAATGTATGATAATACACTAATGTATAGTATGTTAGAGCAGGTGTACTATGTTTTTACTAAATCAGTAAGTAACAGTGTGATATTATCATTAAACGGTTAACTTTTCCCTAATACTATTCTTGAAATTGTTAATGGTCAGTTAATGGTTCCACTGTTTAAAGTTAACAGCAATACATAACCAGTTACTTGAGACCTGTATACAGGAGACCAATGTGAGGTTTATTTCAGTTCTTTTAGTGCAATTACAATGTCGTAACTAGTCTAAACGATTTAATTTCGTATGTACTATTACTGATTGTTGACATATCATTCTCAAGTGTCAAATGTGAGGCAAAACTTAGTGTTATTATTATGTGAAGCCATGATATCGGTGGTGTACATTATTTCGAAATGAAGAAGGCTAATTAGAACAGAACCTAGATTTAGAGAATCCCAGAAATAACCTCGAACCACTTCGCATAATAAGTAACTTACGAATACACTCTAACAATCAATTGCCTTTCATAAAGCTGTAAAATAATACACAAAAGAGTTCTGCCTACTATTTTTCTTACTATATAAGTAGATGAATGTTTTTACTTCTATTTCAGTCGACATTAGTCGACTTGGACCGTAGGGACGGTTTCGTTGACCACTGCTTAAACACATTTTATGCAGTTTTGAATTAAACTGAAAATTTACTTCGCAAACTACCTGCAATTTCTATAGTCACATTTAATCAAGTTAAGAATTAAGTCTAGAAGCAGCATTCATGAACACAACATATATTCCTGTATATCTAAGTATTAAGCAACTGATTTACTCATCAATCTTATCTGTTGAATGAACACATTAAGTGTCTATGATATATACCAGTTGGTTAGATTATTTCCTCACAAAGATAATTCACGTACTTGGATTTCAGTTTAACTATTATGTGACAAAAATTGCTATCATATACATTAAAATCAGGAATCAATTATTTTTAAACCACTATCAGAAACCTGGAAGCACTGGACGGCCGTTTTGTTCAAGCATGGGACTCTTCAGTAATAAGGGATCGAACTCAGGACCTTCGGTCACGTGCGTGAATGCTTAACTTCAAGAGCACTTCAAGAGTGCTAATGTCTAACTTCGATCAATCTGGGGATTTTGCGCAACCTTAGCCAGTGTATCTTCGGTAGTTACTTCTTACACCCAATAGGGCTGAATCCCACCGGATACGGCTTCTCACAATACACTGCTGGTAAGTATCATTCTAGGACAAATTTGCCGTCTAGCACTTCCAGGCTTCCAATAGTGTAGTGAACGAGAACACAGGTGGGGCAACCGGATTGTATTTAACGAAAATTACAGAGTTACTCAGTAAAATCGGAAAACCATATTGTAAATCGTCCATTTGCAAAATATCAGTTCATCATCTCGAACTGGACTGTTCCTGTTGCAAAACATCTATCCGTTATCACTATTCATGCGTTCTAACTCTTCCTTTCTTGATCTTCCCCCATCTTCTGTTGCCAGACATTACGTTGACACTCACGTCATATACTACTTATAAGTAGCGCGCACCACAATAGCTGTCTAACGATTATTGATTCCTGATTTCAATAGAAATCAACAAACACAATAACTCTATAATAAATAACGTCATCTCATTATCAGTAGTAGAATAGCTAAGAAAAAGGATTTCAATTTGAAAGTAAATCATTGAAGGTTATTTAATTTAGTAGTTGAATTTTTATATTCTCAACTAGTGTATTAAACAAATAAAAAAAGTTTTGTTTTACACTCATCATTTACAAATTAAGTAGTATATTAGTATATAAAAAAGTTTCATAATAAAAATGTAGAATCTTCTTATCTCAAGAACTTCTGAATATAATTGACACTGACCAACTGATAGTTTAGTGACCACACTTTACAACGATTCACATTTACCGTTACAGTTAAATTTGCAATTTTCATTCAATATTACCGACTTATGACTATACCAGTTCCGACATAACTGATCTTGTTAAACCGAAATCGAAGAATTGCTACTAATTACTACCTGGATCGATTGTACCGAAAGTGACATTGATTGAAAAGTATCCTTATGAATACCGACAATATGATGTTACAGGGACATTCAACTGACCAGTTTCGAATATAATTTAAACAACTACCTGGATTCAATTAATAACCACTAAATAACGTTAACAAAAGCTTATGTTTAGGTGAGATTGTCAAGCGAATCCTATTCGAATGCAGATATATATGTATACCAAGAGAGAATGATCAATTACAGCCGTTAACGTCAATGGGAAAATGCAAATTATTACAAATACAATGTATTTTATGAATTTTTTCATCATATAGTTATAGAGTTCATCCCTGTTGGCTGAAGGCAGTAACGATCGAAGACAATCGATGAGTTTAAGCGAAATCGTTCGATTGATCAGAGTTAGACATGACGCGTTGGGAATGTTAGATCCCCAGAACTCGCTTGATAAATATCTTTATTTTCAATCTATTTCATGGACTGATCAGTTAACCTTGAGATTACATTTCCCACCAGAAAAATCCTTGGCTGTGATTGGTTGGTGTCATTCTAATATGCTATTTTGTGACTGTCCCAAGGACGTCACTAATCAGCATAAATAAACGCAATTTGAGTGCTTGGATTCATTGTTTGCTGGCTGGGTGTTTGTAGAATTCATTTCTACGCCATATCAAGACTTCTTGTTGGCACAACTGGGTCAAGGGATTACAGTAGCCTTCCTGGACGCTGGTTCATTGATTTTTCTCGTTATTAGACTAAGATGAACACTAGTAGTTTAAGCATGTCGGCTCTGTGGTCTGGAGATCAAGCGTTTGCACGCAAGACCGAAGATCCTCGGCTCGATTCCTAAGTGTAGTGGTAGTCGTGCATGCGCACTGCCGATGAGTCCTATACCAGGACGAAACGGCCGTCCAGTGGTTCCAGGCTCCTAACGGTCATCTGACGATGATTGTAACATAATTTATGTTTTTTTTCTCAATGTTATTAGTTATTATGAAACTGGAAGTATACGACCTGGAGTGATTGGTGGTTCAAAACCAAAAGTTGCCACTGCTTCAGTTGTTGAAGCGATATGCAAATACAAAGAAGATAATCCTACTATGTTTGCATGGGAAATACGTGATCGTTTATTAAAAGATCAGATATGTACAATTGAAAATGTACCATCTGTCTCGTCAATTAATCGTATTGTACGAAATAAAGTAAGTTGGACAGTTTTTATTTTTTTTTTTATGAAGAAAAAATCAGATGAAATTTAAATTTCGCTGACAACATCACATTGATGCTTGAAAATAATTGTTTTATTTAACAGAATGTTTTTTTACTTGAAAATAATCTACATATGATTAAATCTCTTAACGTTTTAAATCATTAGATTGTGACCGAATTATTGAAAAGTTGAACATTCATCACACGACCTAACATTCATAGGTTTGATCCTTGATGATGCATTCTAAGTTGAGATACTTATCTTGTTTGCTTTGACTTTTAATGATTATTTCATTAAGATTGGTCTGTGATGAACAATGAAAGCTCCACAACCAAAACATCTAGCTCACAGAACGAAACACCACCACAATCATACACCTGAGCTACAAATTTTCTCCACCATCTCAATGATCAACTTTCTTGCAATGAAATTTAGAGATGACCTTGTGTAAATAGCCCACAATTGGATTTTATTCAAAACCATTCATCCTCTAGATCAAAAATTGTCAGTTTTTCAAATTTCATAGCAAAAGTTATGATTTCACTTCCTCTCATGTGACTGATACGACATCTAAAAATATTTACCAATATGGTGATTTTCTTTGTTTAATAATTCAAAGTATACCCTTCAACCATCCGAACTGATGAAGGTCCACTTTCTTATCAATTGATTAACCTGAGAATTTTTTCACCTAGTGGTTCTAACATAAGCAAGGATTACTTTGAGAGTATACTGTGATCAAATTTTGGCAGCAAATGAAGGCCAAGTTTCACGGACGGATGGAAACTATATTCTTTCTTTAGTTGGTAGGCAGAAAAATGAAGCATGTCAAAGGAAACTTGAACTTCCAAAAGCTATGTGAGCTTTTCAAACCCGTACCGATCCATCAGAACTGATGAAATGCAGTGGTCCGGTTACGTTAAGACTGTACTCTCTATGATAAGTTTAGATAAATTTTTACATCGAACTTCAAAATTCTTTAAAAAAACACTCTGTTACTCTTTTTTTATGTCTAACTGGAAAAGGATAATCAAACAACAATTGAACCACATAATGTATTATCTAGAAAACGTGGACATCGTCAAATTCATAATACTTCACCAACAAGTAAAACTCATTTAAGTCATGATTCAAATTGTCATGATTCACCCGCCACAACACCTTTAAGTCTTCAAACAAATTCTTCACCGAAATCGATTAAACTCTCTGATTTTGGACAAGAAAACTATTTAAATCATAGTCCAACAATCTTCTCAATAGTTGGAGGCAGATCAACATCAACAGGAACTCTGGCAACAACTACAACCGCAACAAAATCCAATACATCATCTCATTCAATGAAATCATCCTTTAAGCAATTAATGTTCACAGATAAAAGAACTTCGAATTTTTTAAATTCCAATATAAAACGTCTTCACAATTCTCCTCCTCCATTATTCACTGGTTCAATAACTGAAAGTATATACGACAATAATAATTACCCCGAAGTATCTTATTCATTTCCTAATGAAGACAGTATTAATAATACCATTAATTCTTTACAATATTCACAGTTTACACCATATTTTAACAGAAATTATGGAGAAACTATTGAACACTTAAATCAGGCGGTAAATTCAAACTTATCAAACGTTATGTCATCAGATAGTTGTGATCCTTTAAAAAATCAACTCAGTAATTTCAATTTTAGACTTGTTGAAGGAAAACACAATGATGAAAGAGTAGATGAATTGGAAAAAAAGAATTATTTAACAAATTTTAATAAAACTATCATAACTACTGATAATAAAGATATGACATTCCCAAAAATTATGCACACATTACCAAATGATATATCTAATAAATTAAGTAGGAATTTCATTAATGATGAAAAATTATTACATAATCATCCTGTAAATGATGATTATTTGCAACATCCCACGTGTAATCGATTTCCGCCAGTAGATAATGATTTATCAGTAATCAGGAATTCACATTTATATCCTTCCTTACGTAATATACATAATACTGATGATTATAATAATAGTAGTAGCAATGATAATAATAATAATAATGATAGTATCACAAATTATTTATTACAGAAATCTGTAAGTAAACAACCTTTATCAACAAATATCAATACATTAAGTGATTTTTCATGTTTCAATAATGGTTCAAATCATATTAGTTTATCAACTGATTATAGTATCACTGGATTATTAGGTTTAACAATGGCGGCATCAAATGGTTTTAATACACTATATGAAAATGGCTACACATTTGGCGGGAAGAATAAGAATTTAAATTTGCTGATTAATGATACACTTGAAAGCTTTCATTTGCAACAACAACAACAACAACTGGAACAATATGAACGTGATCAACATGATCGTTTAAATTTGGATTTTACAAATCAACCAATACCATCATCTGTTTCTCATTTTCATGGTTATAATTATACACATGAATTAGAGAAACACTTGAATTATGAACAACAGCAACAACATCAACAAAATAATCAGAATTTTTTATCTTATAATGTATCACATAATTTAAATGTAAATGATAATAGTAATAGTAATAATAATCAAGATGGCGATAAAATTAATGGAAATAATCAATTGAATAATAGTATGGTGGAATATTCAACATTGAAACCAGAAATTTTCAAAAATTCTAATGAATTGATAACTGATCATCATCATCATCATAATACTTCTTATATGAATGAAATTGTTGAGACATTATCACTACCAACATCCATGTCGTCATCATCAATATCCCCATTGTCTTCGACCTCTACAACAACACCAACACCAACAACAACAATGATGATGAAGAAGAAATCCAGTACAATAATGACAGAAATAGTATCACAACAACCACAATCAGTTACAACATCATCTTCATTGAAATTGGTTTCAGGTACACCAATGCATAAGCATAAGTCAATAGAAAAAGAACACTTTCTTATGCATCGTAAAAGTAGATTACAGAATTTCGAAACAAAATGTACAGGTTAGTGCCAAAAGAATGAAGTTTATACTTGGCGCTTGTTTCTTTTGTTCGTTATACTTAACTAGACACGTTATTGTCAGAAAATGATGAACCTAAACTCTGTGAATTGTTAGTACTTAATGAAAAGGATAAGTTGAACATTCCGATAGAATGATACTGTTTTAGAATACTTAAATTTATATTTACACATATTTTATTGGAAATGTTAACATTGAGGTATTTTTATGACAGAATTACTTGTTGTGTAGGGGCTGTTAGTTTCCTAGAACTCACTTGATAAGGGTCCTGATTTTGAATTTTATGTTTTCGCGCATGAACTGACCAGTTAACGGTGAAATTACATTTCCCACTTGACTGCTATCGGTTTAGTACGTTATTTTTGTGGCTCTCCCAACGACGTTTCTATCATGCCTAAATAAACGGGATTTGTGTGCTTGCTAACCTCATATTTTCCTGGTGCTTGTAGAATACACTTCTTCGCCTTATCAAGACTTTTTCTTCTACCTAGTAGGGCATTGGGACTGTCTGATTAGGATAGCGTATCATGTCACTGGATTATTAGTCTTCGCTCTCATTTACCGGCTGAGGTGATCTCGTAATAGTTTCAAGCATATCAGCTGACGAGCACATCATATTGATATTTAGTTTCTACCAATATACATCCATAGTCAGTCCATTATGACTATTCACTAACAAATACAATTATATGTTCAGTTATATTGTCTATTGAGATCATATAGGAATCATGAACAAAAGTACTATGAATGAAGATGCCAAGACTAGACGGAACAATGATACATTTAGATAAAAAACAATTTATTAGTGAATTCCGTATATTCAATCTTTAGACTTCCATTTGCAAAATAAACCGATTACTGGCTGTTGTCGTGGTCAATATTACAGCCTAATCTTAATTAAACAGCTAATAGAAATCAGAAAGCATTGAAAAGTTGTTTCAATTTAATGTGGAACTCTTAAACAATGTTTATTCACGTCACCTATAAAATAATAATAATAGTCATGTGCTGTCTACTCACTAATACCAAGTGTTAGTTCCAGGAATTGTTGTGAGAATAATGTTAAATAGGAAGTACTTATCCATCAATGAAACTGGAAGATGATTGCATAACATTGAGAATCGGTTGAAAGAAAAAAACTGCCCTTCTAGATTATAGCTCCGTAATCTGAAGGTTAAATGTTCACTGAGTGACTTGAAGCTCCTAGGTTCAATCCCCGATTGGATCATAGATCTCAATTACCGAGGAATTCAAACATTGGTCCGATGCTCTTCGTTTTCCAAATGGTTACTAAACTAAAATCAATTCTATGATGTTCATTTAAAAATTCATCAATCTCTATAAACTCCCTGGATAGTAATAAACCAATAAATCAGTCATCATTAGTTAAGGTCATGTTTATTTCTCTGTCCTTATTGGTGACAGAATAACGATCATTCATTGTTGGTAGGTGTGTATCGATGACAGGGTTGTGAAGATTGTTGAGTTTCACAGAAATCATGAATCGATCAATGCTAGACCATCATTAGAAACCTGGAAGCACTGAGCGGCCGTTTCGTCCTGGTATGGGACTCATCAGCAGTAACCAACGGATTTCAACCTTGTTTATATATGAAGCAACGCTCAGCGAAGAAAGTGGATTGATTGAAGTTAGACATTAACATTGTTGGGTACCAGCTCACTGGTCTAAAGGTTAAGCGTTCACATACACGACCGAAGATCCTAGGTTCGATTCTCACGAACGAAAGTCTTGGATGTACACCGCTGATGAGCCCCATACCTGGACAAAACCACCTTTTTCAATACTCCCAGTTTTCTAATGGCAGTCTAACACTGCTCAATTCATGATTTCAAAATATATATCCTGTGAGAACTGACTTGATAGAGTTATTTTGTTATGAATTTTATACAGAGTAATTAGTTTGTGTAGGAATGTGCTTATCAGAAGTTGGAATGCAACAATGTACAACGTACAACGAATCTTACATAAGACGAAACACATATCTATCTATCTATCTATTTATTCTATAAATGAAATAATAATTGGAAAGTATACAAACTTATATCATCATTTCCTTTCATTTTTAAAAATTGTTAATTTATTCAAATTATAGTCATAATGAGTAGCATTATTATTATTATTATTATTATTATTATTATTATTATTATTCATGTTAACTATTATTTAATTTTTTGAAATTGAGAGAAAAAAAAGGAATGAAGAGTCAATTTCATGATTGTTTATTTTTCTTTCTGCCATATTTCTTTTTTCTGTTTTAAAAAAATTTGACACACACACACACAAACAAAACCGAATGATCCATGGGTGTGTCTGTGTGTGTGACTGAAGGAAGTGTAGATAGGTTAGATGCACAATAAAAGCCTCAATTCAAGATGAACACAATGAACACTTGTCACGACCGGATACATAGACACGTATTATCGACAATCGGTTTCTTTTTTGTGTTGGCATTTTATTAATTAGCATAATCAAAATGAGATGATTTCAAAGGTTGACAATTTCATTTTGATAATAATTCATGTAATCTAACTAACATCATGACTGACTGACTGACTGACGGTAGGTATCCTGATGTGATTTCTGTAAATAAATCCCGGAAATTAGTTAGTTTGTAACCACATGATTTATAATAAAGGGAAGAAAAAGAAAACTGGATTAAATTTCATGACAAATGTAATCAAATTGAAATTGACACATAGTGGGAATATAAATACCTTTATGTTGCTTTCAATTTTAAATAGTCTAACAGAATTTTTTTCCGGAGAATTCTTCTTTTCACTTCAATATTCTCACATTGGCATCTTTTTTATTGAATTGTGTAGAAATGATGTTTATATTTTCAATAGTGATCATTTGAATCATTTTTAATGGCTCACATCTGGATTCCAGTGTGGAGGACGATTGATCAAGTATGTGACGAAATAAATCTCACTTTCCACTTAGGCTAACCCCGTATGTGCGATGGTGGTAATAAAAAAGGACCGAATACGGTTTTGTGGATGAATTTGTTTCATGCAATCATTTATGCAGACAAACATGAGAAGGGAAGCGAATTGGAGAAGGCGAGTGAGCCAACTTTCCTCCATGAGCTGAAGCAATGACTAAGTATTTATAGTCAAGCAATAATAGGCTAGACATGTAATCAGCGAGTAAGCATGCACACACACACACAATCGAACGTACAATAATCGATACTGACACCGAATTATTACAAACAGAAAATTATGGTCAATACAATTATCGAATAATTTAAATGACAAGTAACTGAAGTACAATGAATGAATAGTGAGATGCTGTTACACCTTAACACTCAAATATAGTAGTAGTAGTATAATAGTTATGATTGTGTGTAAAAACGTGTTTACGCTTAAAAATCAAATGTTGCAATTTTTTTTTAAAATATTGATCTTGTAATAAATTTAAATAAATTGAGAAGAATAAGCTCTGTCGAATAACATTTAAAAGCTTAGCATCAACTGTGAACCTTAGAAATTTCGCATAATTACGGTGAAAATGTAAACGCATTGTAATCGATAAATTTTGGTCCAAAACGACATAAGAAACTAGAAGAGAAAAAGTTATATTTAATGTGATAGTTAGGACTGATAGTGGCTTAAGACGAAGTCATTCACACTTGATAATGGGCGATATGTGAAATTCAATCCCCGTGGGGCAATAACACTTGACTCGAGTTCATAGACCCTCCTGGGTAGTCGGTATTCGATATATTCCTGAACTTAGTCTACTGCTCGTCCTGATAACACCAAATGGTGTATAAATTAAAAGATGAATACGAAGCGTTGATTGGGTTTATTGTTGCACACACAAACAGATCAGTAAAACCACAGACACTTGAAGCCAAATGATAGGTGTGAGTGTCGAAGAGTAAGCGAGCGAACGAGTGAATTAGTGAATGATATACATCGGAAAATGAATGAGCCATCGAATTATTTAAAGGGCTAATATTCAAGCGAATAGAATGAATATACGCGTAGGCGATAAGCAACGTTCAGTCATACCTGTTCATACCGGCGTACTAGAGCATAATGGTACAGATACGCTGTTGCTATACGAATGACTTAGTCTGTTGATTAAGTTAATAAAAAGGGCTTAACCAAATTAAATGTGTACAAACTCAAATGCCTGTGAGGTACTATAAACCTTCTATACCGATAATTGGTAAACACCACGATAACAAAGTTGATTACTTCTCACTACCTGAAATCGAAAACCTATTCCAATAATAATATCTTATTTTCAAAAAGTCGTAAGATATATATATATATTTATATACTATTTAAATAGAATGATTCTTTCGCTTTGTTTAGTAACAAATACTTCTTCCTTAATACCATCCACAAATGATCATCATGATTCATTGACAATAATCAAAAATTCCATTGAATATATAGACAATTTTATGATCAATGATAATAAAAATGAACCGCCACACTTATCACCATCATTGTCATCTTCATCATCTTCATCATTCTCCACATTTAACAATAATGATTCAGGTATTTCGTTTATTCTACCAGCAAATTCAAATCTTCCAAATAAATACTTAAATCGATTAGCAAACAAAACTTCTACCATAAATGATTCTTTAATTTGTATGGATTCAACATTAGATAATAAATCTTCTCTGGCAGGCATCAATCAAAATATTGATCGAATGAAATTATCAAAATTCACTGGATCTGAATTATTAGCAAAAGTTGCATGTCCTGATACCAGTACAACATATGATCATGTTGAACAAGATTGTCCATTGAACAATGATGAACCGATCTTTAGTAAAGATGGATTTAAGTCAAACAATGATTTATCTAAAACATACATGTCATGTTTTATACCTTACACTTCTACTTGTTCTTCTTCATCTTCTTCTTCCTCTTCCCTTTCTCCTTCTTTTCAATCGTCACATTTAACGACAAATCTACCAGAAGCTAATACAGATATTGTGAATTTCCCATTGTATTTAATGACTGACAAAGTAAACAATTCATACTATACACAAACATATACTAATTTAGATTTGAATGAAACAGATTATATAACAACGGAATTTTTCTCTAGATCATTAACAGATAGAATTCATATGAATCGAAATGATATGAATGATGAAGACAACGCTTCAAATCATATTTCATCAAATCAATGTAGACATACACCAGAATTCCCAACACAATATTCTTTAATCTGATAGAAATACTGAAAATATGAATCTTGATTTATGCAATGAGCTATTTATATTTCAGTAGAAAATTTTACTTTTAAAGAATAGCTTCATTGTATGATTGAATTGTTACACTTTTCGAATTTCTACACAGACATTCTAAACTGTTGTGGTGTGTTTACACAACCTAGTAAATTAAGTGAACAGACATTAACTACTTATAATAAAGTAGTAGTAAAGTTAATGTCACAAAAGAGTTTGCTGCCGTACATGTTAAAATCTATTTGTCAAAGAATCAGCATACATCTATCTCATTTATCGCCACTCTTACTTAAATTGTTTTAAATTATACTTTATTGTTGATACATATGAGGTTTTCTCATTATTTTTTAACTAATCAACGTAAATAATTATAAGTACGTAGTAAATCTTAAATTTTATTATTCTCAAGTATAGAATGAAATTTAAATCAAGAAAAGTTTAGTAGAAGTTCTATGTTATACAATGAGATGAATCATTCCGAAGATAATGAATGATGTCATTCTACTGGTCTCCAGCAACCAGATTTAAAGAATAAAATGAAGTCACATTCTATTTAAAGGATTCAAGTCAACTAAAAACGCCCTGATATTTGGAATAGATAATGAAGCTGGGGAATAAAGTCAATATGATTGGATTCAAGATGAAAGTATGGAACGAGTTTCTGTATGATAGATGAGATTAATGCCTATTTAAATCATGAATTGCTAAAAAAAACAAGACGTTACGTAATAAAAATTCATTTAATTTAAAGCAAAATTATGTCAGACATGAAATTGTTTGAAAAAAATCATCTTTTCTTTTTATCAACATGATGAAAGATTTGCCGCGCTTGTTATTTATAGGTCAATCTAGAGATACTTAGTGTCTGTAGACTGTGTGAATTCCGAGTTTTTACTGTTTCTCAATTATTCTTTAGGTAAATGAAACAATTTACTTTACTATGAGGTAATTAACTGTTTTATAATTATACATATAAATCTATGATAAAACAAATATTGAATCTAATTGAATTTGTGATGGTTTAGATTAACTTGTGGTTTCTAATGGTGATCTAACATTACGGGGTTGTGAAGATTGTTAAGTTACACATTTTTGAAACCATGAATCGATCAATGTGAGACCACCATTAGAAACCTGGAAGCACTGAAAGACGGCCGTTTCGTCCTGGTATGGGACTCCTCAGCAGTGCGCATCCACGACTCCTGCACCCCGCAGGATTAGAACCCAGGACCTTCGGTATTGTAGGCGAACGCCGTAATGTAAATTACCTGTGCTCACTAGCGAACAGCTTCATGAGGAACCTTCTCCGAGTTCTAGTGGGAAGACGTGACCAGTGAAGTTCAACCTGTTTGGGTGTAGACAGTAACTACCGAAGACTGTGTATGAGGTTGCGCAACTCCGTGAATTGATCAAGTTAGACATTAACACCGTTAGATACCAGCTCAGTGGTCCGATGGTTAGGCGTTCGCCTACAAACCGAAGATCTAACATTAATCAACTCATTATTTTAAAAAGTAAACTCAACAATCTCCACAACAACGCCATGGATGCAAATAAAGAATACTCTTCAAAACACTAGTGATTTATTCCTATTCGAAATTTAAGTTCATTGTAAAATGAGAAATTAAATATGCCATTTATGTATGTATAGAGTAAGTTTGTGATGATTAATGATTAAAGCATATGTTGTATACAGATTAATGAATTGTATTTCTTTCAAGATGACAGATATCTTGACAGACAGGTGATCATAAAAAGCTTGTTCTGGTGAAACCGGAATAGGATAATTGCACAAGAATATAGAAGTGCTGATATTCTTGCATTCCTCTTTAGATAACGGTATCAGATAATGCTCAGAAATACGTTTCAATAGACTAGATTTTGTGTAACCTATGTAAGCTCTTTCAAAAGTGAACTGAAAAAAACACGCAATGAATTGAGCAACGCTGGAGATTTATCCATAATACCACGCCAAAATCCATGGCCAACTGGATAAGACAACTCAAAGGTTTAGAGAGCATAAATCCTTCCATACTGATTTTGTTCGTATTACGGGGTCTTGGAGATTGTTGGGTTTTATTGAAACCATGAATCGATCAATGTTAGACCACCGTTAGAAACCTGGAAGCACTGAAAGACGGCCGTTTCGCCCTGGTATGGGACTCCTCGGCAGTGCACATCCACAACTCTTGCAACCCACAGGATTCGAACCCAGGACCTTCGGTTTTGTAGGCGAACGTCTAACCATCGGACCACTGAGCCGGTTTCTAACGATGTTAATGCCTAACTTGATCAATTTTGTTCGTCGCCTTTTATTTTTAATTTCTGATATGATATCACCTTTATAGTCGATGTTCATGAACAATAACTTCTTAGTCATTGTAGGTGGTCTTTTCGATTTATTTTAATGAACCTGCAAAAGCAACTAATATCTATGGATGTTTAAAGAACTGAATTCCATTCTTCAGAGATAATGTCCTCCTCGGTTTAAATTCGTCTAACCCTCAAAGATAGAAAATGAATTAAGTTTCTTTCTCAATGTACAGCCATCATTATTTGAAACTTGGTAGATTTGCTCATTTTAGGTTTTTTTTGCGTATAGTCACGTCTGTAGATGAGCTATTCGGCCTTCATTTCAACCAGGTATCAATAAAAGAATGAATTCTGAGTTTGTCTTCGATTCCAAATACTTAAATGTTTCAAACCAGACATTAATATAGTGATTTTTTATCTGTACGACCCCATTTGAAAAAAAGAACAATTCATCAAGATAAAATATCTAAAGCAGAAAGAATGAACGATATTTTTAGAAAGAATATTAAAACATTGTACATTATTTGAATGTGAATGTACAACTTACAAGGTGAATGACAATGCACTCAACTAAATGCTTTATTGATATTAAAACTTACCGCAAAAACCTCTTTAGTTAACCTATTGGAAAAAGATATCATGCATAATGAAGTAACTTATCAGAAGATATCTATGACTACAAAAGGATCTGATATGTGTCTAAGTATCGTGACACGAGGTCCTTTAAACAAAACATGACATCAGTTCATAAAGTCAATGACTTTTAGTTTAAACCATGAAGAAAATGCAAATAACCTGATTGTAATCCGTTTGATGATTGTGATCAGTGTTTAGTAACTGTTGTGTCGTTCAACCTTTGATGGCTGAATTACACATCCTACCAGCACTAAGCATCAAGTGAGTTCCTATTGACAACCGATTCAATAGCTTCTAAAGGCCGTGCCCTTGAGTTCAGCATCTAATTACATTTCAAACAGACGTAGTTTATATACTAACAAACCAACCACATCACACACTCGTATTTTCTGGATGCTTGTAGAATACATTTCGCCTTATCAAGACTTCTTGATATAGTTGGTCTATCGTATCACTGAATCATTTGTCTTCGCTCTGGTTTACCGAATCAGGTGAACTCGTAATAGCATTCAAACATTTCAATCGACGGACATATCAGAATAGGAGTGAATGTAAATATTAGTTAATGAGTCAAATGAAATCTGATGATATAAGGAATATATATATTGTAATCTAGTTACCTGATAATTATACAAAAGGGTGATATACAACAATAATCCACAGGTTAGCTTTAAGCGTTTCCATTTGTTCACTCTTCGTTCCGACATTACAAAGACGCTCTTTACCATGGTTTAAGACCGTTATAATGATCTAAGGAGATTAACATTTAATCTTCCTCTAAATTTTAATTTCAATATTCCTACATGCATATCTTGTAGTGCCTTCACATATTCCAGTTCGCTTACATCTAACTTGGTTAAGCCCTTTCGATTAATTTATTTAATCAAGCCATTTGTATAGCAATAATTTATATGTACCATTCGTTCTTATTATTGTCTGGTTTGTATGAGCTCACATGACATGTCCCACTCGTCATTTGACCTTGTCAATCATTCGTCACTTTTATTCATGTGTGCCTATTTCGTTTGTTGTATGTCTGTCTTATATTTGTCTGACTACATATTCTTAGTCATGCTCTATTTTTCTGATTTGGCTCTTAGCCTTCTCCAATGCGCTTTGCCTATTCGTTCGCTTCCTTCGCCCATTCTTTCGCTGCTTTTCAACTTCGCTATGTGGTGTGTCCAAAATATAAACGTATTCATACTTCGAATTCGCCTTCTGATTTATAAACCGTCAGACGCTACTTAGTGACGATTGTCTAGACGAGCTAATTAACGAAACTTAAGTTTACCTCTAAATCGGCACACCTAACAATCTTTTCATCTTGTATCGTTGATCTTTATTCTTAATGTTTACTCTTCCTTATTATGGTTGCTGTTGTATTATCTCGATTCCTTTGTTACGCTCATGATTTTAAATTCATCTTGTCATGATGTTACCATGATGAGAGGAACTTTGGTTTAACCACTTTTTTGACCATACTCCATGCTGATCATGACTGGCTGAGACAGGGAAAAACTACAATGGAAATCGAGCTGTACTTTAAATTATAAGTCATTGAATGAAAGAAAAATCCTCAAGATTCCATCATGGACACAGTAGATTTGACTTTTACGCAACTATGTAGAGTATCCTATGCTTTCTGTCTAGTTTCATTAGTGATTAACAAAGATCAATGTGGTAAGCAGTACGATGAAGTAAAATGTATCCATTCAGCAGATCACTATTATAGAGTGACGTAACAGACCAACATATCAATTAGTCAAACCTCTAACTATAATGACTATTTCAAACAATTCATAGTCAAGGGTAAGTGTAAGTAGAAACTTCTGCAAATCTTACTGAATAAATTTATTTTCCGACATTATACGATGTGCACGCAACATGCAATTTACCAAATTCAACTCAACTAGCCTGAAAAGAAATAACTTGATATGCTTGTCTATTGATACGCTTGAAACTATGACGAGTTCACCTTAGTCAGTAAATGAGAGCGAAGACAAATGATCCAGTGACACGATAGACTATGCTAGTCTGTTGTCCCCGGCCCTGCTAACGATATCAAGTCTTGATAAGGCGAAGAGTATTGTACAAGTGTAGTGAATGAGAACACAGGTGGGGGCAACCGAATTGTATTTAACGAAAATTACAGAGTTAGTCAGTAAAATCGGAAAACCATATCGTAAATCGTTCATTTGCAAAAGATCAGTTCATCCTATGGAACTGGACCGTTCCTGTTGCCAAACATCAATCCATTGTCACTCTTCATGCGTTTCATACAAATTCCATTGTTTTCTGACTCTTCCTTTCTTGATCTTCCCCCCATATTATGCTACCAGACTTTACGTTGACACTCACGCTATATACTACTTATAAGTAGTTCGCAACACAGCACCACAGAAGCACCCAGAAAACATAAGGTTAGCAAGCACACAAATCGAGTTTATTTACCAAATGGGTATCCAAGTGATTATGAATACGCAGTGATCCTCTTAACAAGAAAGAATTGGATTTTCAGTGTGATTACTAAAGCTTTTATGGTCACCTGTTTTCGTTTAAACAACCGAACAGTATTCCAACACACACAAACTAGATAATTTGCTCCTGTGGAATTACGTGCATTGATCATTGAACGACATTATAACAGCGAAGGATAAACCATAATTATTAAACTTTTTTTCGCTACTTGTCACTTGACACATCATGTTATGTTATTTAAAAAGAGTTATATTTCGCTGAATTTAATCTACAGACAAGCCTTAATAGTGAACACTGTATACTTTCTATTGTTCATTATTTACCAACTTCTTTAATTTGTGCGCGGAATTCATTCATTCATACAGATCTTGACATTCTAAATGATGTCGTTTCGTAATGAAATCTCAGATCATAATTTCTTCGCTTGATTTACAATCGATACTCTCGATTCCTATCCATTATTTTAAGGTGGATAAGTGAGTGAGATTCTGCAAGATAATCGTTAGAATCTCTGAAGGTCATCCTTACACTTTAGTACCGCCGAAATTTTTTGATCAACAAGGAAATGGAAGAAAATATCAAATAGTTCGATCAGCATGACAAATTTTTACTGCAGAGCGTCCATACATAAATATCCTTTCTTCACTTTAGTAGACCACTGATTCATTGGTAAGATTTATTGCTAAAATATTTTCATAATTGATTAGGTTAATTTATAGCTTCAACTCCGACTGTGGCCCCTCTAGGGCTACTGCCGGTCCCAAGCCGGAATAAAGGGGGAGGGTCGGGTGTGGTGTTAGTGACCCCATCTACTAAAAAACGAACTCGCTTAAAAAAATCGGTAACCAGGAGAAAAATAACTCATAACTTTAAGTCGAGATACACGAAAACTGTTATGACACGTAGTATTTGAGACTGATACTTATACATAAACTTTCTATATGCAAGCTTTCAACTAGCTACTGATTAAGAAGACTAGGATTCAATGAGGACGTTAATTAGTCTGTATCTAATAAAATGCATGAGCATTCATTCATATACGTCGGCACCCTATTAAGTAAAACCATTTCTTGGCCAGTAACATGCACTTAATTGGTACAACGTGGTATTTTTTTAATTAACCCGTTTAATTAGAGGTATTAAGTGTTTCTGTGCTACAGCATACCACATAAAGGGTAACCCTATGATCACTACACTCATTACTTGATATGCTTAAAACTAATACGAGTTCATCTTACTCGATCAACGAGAGAAAAGACAAATGATCCGGTGACATGATAGGTTACTCTAATCTGAGCGTCTCAAGGCCCCAACTAAGTAGAAGAATAAGTCTTGATAAGACGTAGACAGTGTATTCCACAAGCACCCAGAAAACAAGAGGTTCACAAGCACACAAATCGAGTTTATTTATACATCACAGAGACGTCCTTGAGGGAGCCACAAAAACAGTGTACTAAAATGAAACGTCAACCAATAACAGTCAAGGATTTTCCGTGTGGGAAGTATAATCTCAGGGTCAACTGGTCAGCCCATGCTCAAAAACATAAAATCCAAAATTAAGACCTTTACCAAGTGAGTTCTAGAGATCTAAGGTCCCCAACATTATGTTTGAAATTTTCCTGGTGATCGTTTTAACTACCACCAATGATAATGATAGAATACAAAAGTTTAGAAACAACATTGATTAAACTAATCCAATTATGATTATGACACTAAGAATAATGCTTCTTCCGATGGATTATGAAAATTAACAATATGAGACAGTTATATAAATCCACTAATAAGATGGTGTACATGTCATCCATTTTGATGATCATAAATTACCGATTCTATATTACTTTGTTAGAATAAAATGCAATAACTAAGTACACTTTTATTTCTATTCAAAATACTTGATTACATTCGTTGAAAAGTGATTTGCAATAACAAATTCCTACTGTAAATAGTAACGAAATGAATAATCAGTGCAAGCAAAAAGAAACAAACACGAAATGAAATCATATTTATTCAGCATCTCAAAACACCAACAAGTACATTTGCAAAATAATGATAGTCGTTATTTGGTACGTACAGTAAAAAAAAATACACGAAAGAGAACAAACAATGAGAAAAAAAAGAAAAGGCGCATACACGAAAGTACAATTTCTCATGGTGAGTGAGATTTCATTTTTTTCTTTAAAAATTTTTTACCACACAAAAATAATGTAGGACAACAATAAAAGCTACTTAATTAGATTTAAGTAGTATAAAGTATTGGCACAAACTAGGTAGTATATATAAATATATATATCTTCTATATAATTTGAACAAAAATGAGGTAAAGAATAAGCATTCACATAAAAATAAACAAATTTCGAATTATTTCACAAATGTACATGACGTGATAATAAATAATATCTGAATAGGCAAAATAACTTGAAAAGTATTACTATACAAAACTATACTACTACTCCATACTATCAATCTGTGTGTGTGTGTCGATGTGTGCGAATATTGTTTTCCGACCACATCAATCGAATATAATGACTATCAAAAAACAAAGCAACTGAAAGACAAAAATCTGTTTGTAAAAAGAAATGTATTCTTGTTTGCTTGATTGTTTATTTTTTTTGGTTACAACAGTCATGAGAAAATATCTATCATCAATGAATGAATGAATGAAATGATATTTTGCATAGAATTTACAAATGTAAAAACATACAGTGGTTTTGATATATATATATTTTCTGTTTAGAAGAAAGCAATTAAAAATAGATTGTACAATAATAATTAGCAAGGGCAATTATTAATATATCTTGCATCTATTTATTCTATGAAAAAAAAATAACAATAACTCGAAAAGTGCACAAATCACCAGAGAGAGTGAGAATAAATTTCGTCATCATCATCATCATCATACTCTCAAAAACCACATAATTGGATAGCAATAGTAGTAATAAGGACAGTCAGAAAAGAACAACAGACAGATTGTCAGTTCATTTAAAAACAGGAAATAAAACATGTAAAGAGCAATAATAATAATAATAATAATAATAATAACAGCAGTAGCAGCAGCAGAAGCAAATGTGTCTTGGAAAATAAAACAAACTGATCGTAAATTAATAATAATAATAATAATGATAATAATACAAGGGTAGCCAGTTAGTTACACATTCTAGTGATTCATGTGTATTTATTTTCCTTTCACATAAAAAAAAGAATTTAATAAGCAAGCAAAGGGATGAGATGAGATAATTTATTTATCTTAGTGAACTAATTCACTTATCAATAATCATCCATTGATGAAGAAAATGTTGCAATTGATGATAAACAGTAAAACTTATACCTGAAGCAATTGGTCCTTTCAACCAATTCATTGATAAACCTTTATATAAACCATGAATGAAACCTTCATCTTTATAGACATAGAGTAATGTTTTATATACACTTTCTATGTATTCTGGATGACCTAGTTGATTGAAATAAATAAAAAGAGATCGAATCGACCGGTATGTTCAGAATACTTTGGAAATCGAAAAAAAAAACACAGATGAGAGAAGATAGTGCAGAGCCGGCTTAGAATGCAGAAAACACAAGATGCAAATGTATGACTGAGAACTAGGTGTAGTAGTACATTTGGCGTAAACATTCAGTAATATCACCAGAGGCTTGTTCTTTCATATATATGGGTAAATAACTTGTACAGACTAGTTATTATGATTATTATCAAACTTCAGATGTGAAACAATACCTGTAAAATGTTATTTTTCTTATGGTTAAGGCGTTTAATATTTTAGTCATTAAGTTGCAGACCAATCAAGCAGTTCAGTATTAGTGAATTATTCGTGTGTAAAATGAAGTTAAATATACAAAACTATTTATATGCCGAGTAAATAAGTAAGTAAGTAAGCAGTCACATATGATAGGCAGTGACTAACAATAGGTTCATTCACTATTTGTCCCCTCGGAATCACAGAGCCCGTTTACACAATTGATTTGAAACCAAAGTTTTCCAACGCTTTTGGGTAGATCCTCCATGCCCACCAACCCGGTTAAAACTACGGAGATTCGCTTCTCATTCTCTTACTTTCATAGACAAAACTCTGATCGAGAGAAGTTAGTGAATCGAACTTCCCTTACAGCGGCTCTATATGCGTGGTCATGTGGTGGAATTGTAGCATGGGGAAACGGACTCTGTTCACTCTCGGCTATATCAGGGCACTGTTGGAAGATTTACACTATTTCAGGTTGCAGTCGAATCTATGATTAGAGCATTAAGACGTGGATAACTAGTCAAAATACATGAATATTTGCAATAGTTTCTACATAAAATATACTTTGCATGACAAATTTTTACAAGAGACCAGGAATAACGGTTTCTTGTCTCCAAAGCATGTATCATGGGACAACCGAGTAAGCGATGCTGTTGTTAGAAAACGAGTACTAGGTAGGGATGGCAGATCAATAGATAAAGTATTGAAACTTCATCAATTGAGGTGGTTGGGACATGTGTTGCGTATGCCTAACCATCGACTTCCTCGTCGAGCTATGTTTTGTGACATAGGAGCTAGGGGCGGCCAAACCAAAATATGGCACAAATCCATAAAGTCACTGACAAGTAGAATGAGTCATGTCAGTAAGTGTCGACTATCTGGTTGGGACCCGCGAGGTGATAGTAATCGATGGTTAGAAACCCTGAATGACATGGCTCAGAATCGTTTGCAATGGAGCAGATGCATTTACTCTTTGTGTTTTATGATATTCTAACCTGAATTCCTCATCACCTCTATATTTCTTTTCCTCAATTTACATCACTGAATTATACTTCTTGAATAACATCTTCGAACCCTAATCTCTCCGATTACTTCTAATACTTTAGTACCTCTACTACTATGCTATTTAAATTGACAATTATATCTCTGTGCTATTGTGGTATGGCAACTTGAACTGATGTACTCACGTAGGAAGTTCTACGTTGCCGATGATGATGATTTTTACAAGGATAATGTTTTGTTCTCATCGCAGTATACTTTAAACTGAACAAAAACAGTTATCCACCAGAGACAGATGAATATTAAGCAATGATGAAGTTATACAACTCTGAGGCTTTTGCATGCCGTCGCATTGGTCTACAGGTTATACGTTCGAATTCAAGACCAAAAGTCATTAGACTAATTCCCAGATGCACTGGGTTGTGGATACACACTGTTGAGCAGTCCCATATCAGATCGACACGACCATCCAATGTTCCCAGGTTTTCAATGGCAATGCCTGACTGCGACTAGTTTGTGAAATAATAGTCAAGAATAATCAAGTTATTGAAGATTTCAGCCTTTATTAGTTATGACAATGGTGGCATGCTTGAATATTGGGGCTACCTGTATCCTAACATCGAAATAATTCAACAAGTTACCTCTTCTTGTTTGGTTTAACACGTGAATTATGCCTAATAGTCGTACTATCTATTCAGGCGAGTATAAAAAGTTTACGAGCTATTGCTTCACAAAGTACGGAAAGCACCTCAGTGGCTGGCAATCTGCTGAGAGAGAAGAACGAACGTTAATAAGATGTCGATTCCCTAACTGCTTACTTTTAACTACCAATCACACTAATTAGTCTGTAAAGGGAACTCGCTGAAATATCTGTGCTAGGAATTCCATATTGCACATATAATACTGGAAAAAGCCATTATTATTGATTTTATTATTATTGTTATCATGTAAGGTAGTGGTGGATGAGAAAAATAGAATGTATACATTAGATTGGAAATAATTTAGGTTGCATACCTGTAATGTTAGCAGTTTGCATTCTTCGTCTAACAATATCTAACGGATAAGAAGCAGTTTGTCCTAAAATTCCAGCCACTGCACCACACCACAAATTTTCCAATGGACGCAATTTTTTAGGTCGTTTGCCAGTTATAGGATCTTTATTTCTGTCTGAATGAAAAAAAAAACAAACAGGCGCTCATTGTAAATGTTCATCAGAAAAAAAATATTTAGTTATACAATACAGATTAATAAAATCGATTGACAATAATTATGACAGCCGGAAATCATAAGTTAACATGTGATCGATTGAACTGTAGCGATCAAACGGAAATGTTTCATTTAGAAATAAATAGAACACTGAATAGCAAACATAGAAAGAGGAAATTGATAATGCTTACGAGTGGAAACGATGCAATATAAGATGGCTAGCTATGTTATGAGTGGTTTTATTATTATTATTATTAAAATCTGGGGAGAACTCATTTTTCTTGACATTGAATGAAAGAACACAATTGTAATATGGTAAGCGCATTCACAGAAAATCAATTTAGAGATGAACAGAAGATAAAATTTGGTTAGAAATTTAGTGGTTAACTACTGATTTACAGTTATCGATCATGCTTTGGACAACACTAACAAACAATGAACCTTTACATTAAATATATATATAGGCGGAGAATAACAAGGGATGATTTATCGTACATAAGTAAAGATATTATATGAGAAAAAAAGAACTTCTTACCTAAACAGATTTCTTTTAATGTTTCAAATGTAAAGAAAGCTGTCCCAGCATATGGGATAATACCGAGGAGAGCGGGTGAAAAACCACGATACAATGCATTTAATCCTTCTTCTGTATAAAGAGCTCGTATAGCATGAAAAAGACTAGAATATCTGAGTAAATGAACAAAAGAAATCAAATCATGGTGGAAATAGCAAAAGATAAATTCACAATGATGAATGGAAGATTCATCTGTGACTCCATATCTAAAGCCGAAAACAGGACCTTTAGGCCTTGGAGTAAGTGCTTAACCCTCAAACCATTATATCGGTTATTCAACAGATTAGATTTTTAGTTTCGATTGATTTGTGATTTTGTGCAACTATTATACACTGTCTAACTTATAGTTAGTGCGACAGCGCGGACAGGAAAACACTGTGGAGGCTTCTTCGACACTACGGTGTGCCTGGGAAGATAGTTAACACCATACGGAATTCTTATGATGGATTCAACTGCAAAATCGTACACGAAGGACAGCTAACAAACTCTTTCGAGTTGAAGACCGGTGTCAGACAAGGTTGCTTACTCTCAACCTTTCTCTTTCTCCTGGTGATCGACTGGATTATTAGGATGTCGACATCTGGAGGGAAGCACGGTATCCAATAGACAGATAGGATGCAGCTGGACGATCTGGATTTCGCGCATGATCTGGCTCTTCTATCGCACACGCAACAACAAATGCAAGAGAAGGCGACCAGTGTGGTAGCAGCAGGTCTCAACATACACAACGGAAAAAGTAAGATTCTCCAAAATAACACAACATGCACCAACCAAATCACTCTTGATGGAAATGCCATCGAGGACGTAAAAACATTTAGATATCTGGGAAGCATCATTGACGATCAAGGTGGATCTGATGCAGATTTGAAGGCGCGGATCGGCAGAGCAAGGACTGCATTTTTACAATCAAACAACACATGTAACTGAAAACAACTATCAATCAATACAACTCAGAATTTTCAATACAAATGTCAAGACAGTTCTACTGTATGGGGCGGAAACTTAAAGAACTACCAAAGCCATCATCCAGAAGATACAAGTATCGATTAACAGTTGTTTACGCAAAATACTTCAGATTCGTTGGCCAGACACTATCAGTAACGACCGACTGCGGGAGAAACCAAACCAAATTCCAGTGGAGGAAGAAGAGTGGGAAGTGAATAGGACACACATAGCGAAAGCCACTTAACTGCGTCACTAGACAAGCGCTCACTTGGAACCTTCAAGGTCAAAGGAAAGTAAGAAGGCCAAGAAACACATTACGCCTAGAAATGAAGACAGACATGAGAAGAATGAACAAAAATTGGATAGAACTGGAAAGAAAAGCACAGGAGAGAGTAGGTTGGAGAATACTGGTCCGCTGCCTATGCTCCATTAGGGGTAACAGGGGTAAGTAAGTAAGTAAGTAACTTATGCCTATTCCATTGCAGTTATAAACTTCGTCATAAGAATAAATGTCTATGTTCATAGGATAAGGCCTTGATTAGTGTATGCTTAAGTCAAGATCAAGTCAGAGTACACTAATCGTTCCATTTTCAACCAATCAGATATTATTGGAGAGGTTAAGAAGGTAGTGGAAGGTTTAAATGTAAGTGTTATGTAAAAGCTAACATTTTTACCGCATGATCTTTTGCTATCCACATTCTGAAATATATATCTTTATCTGCTTACAATTCTTATCACATTATCAACGACTAGTCGAGTAAAGTATTTCGCTCAAAAAAAAGGTATACGAAGTAACAGTGTTACAACAATTCATTTTTGACTAGTAATATTAATTTTTCACTAGTGACAGAGATTAAAGTTTAAGTAATTAACAGTAAATATCAAAACAAGATCGTTTTGACTGGTATTCTAAGGTTGTTCTTTTTTGAACTATTGGTTTGTAGATATCTAGGCTATGAATCTCTTAGGTTCGTCACTAGGTATGCTTGAAACTATTACGGGTTCACCCTAGTCGATAAACGCGAACAAGAGAATGAACCAGCGTCCAGGTAGGCTACCCTGATCCAATGGCTAAACGAAAGTCTTGATACAGTGTAGAAAGTATATTCTGCAAACACCCAGCAAGCACACAGTGAATCCAAGCACTCGAATTGCGTTTTTCTATACGCCATAGAGACGTCCTTGGGACAGTCACAAAAATAGCACACTAAAATACATATCAGCCAATCACAGCCAAGGATTTTCCTGTTGGGAAATGAAATCTCAAGGTTAACTGATCAGCCCATGCTCGCAAACTTGAAATCCAAAATAAGCCATTTATCCAGCGAGTTCTGGGGATCTAACGTCCCCAACAGAATCAGACTAGGAATTTAGATTAATTTACCAATTATAATTTGCAGCATACATCTCTAACATTGGATTAATTTGATACACTAAAATTGATTAACAAAATATGCGACTAATCGATGAAGTCATTGACTGTTAGTATAAAATATGTCGAGAGATACAGATGTTTTTGTTACAATCTGCTAGATACTCATTATCTATACTAAAGAAACTTTGAATGAGATGGCTTGAAATCAAGTGGAACGTGATACAGGTCTGTCTACTCATTCTTTATTTTTCTGTAGGTCATGAGTTTTTAATTATTATTATCATTATTATTATTAGTAGCATTTTATGCTTCTGATATCTCGATTGTAATAATTTTCATTTCGCTAACCACATATTAGTCATGTTTGATAAATTCTTTTGCTAATAGTGATAATAATAATAATACAAGTATTATTTTGACTTTTTTAAATAATGTCTCCTTGACCTTTTTTCTTTCTCTCACTATGATGATGGCGCAAGGTATGAAAGCTTGGAATAAGTCATATATTTGAAATCATGAATCGATCAATGTCAGACCAACATTAAGAATCTGGAAACACTGGACGGCCATTTCGTCCTAGTTTGGGACTCATCAGCATAAATATTTTGTTGCTTGTAGAATTCGTTAAGTCGATGGATTTGCACTAATTTGATATTATCATAGCTTTAAACATTTGACCAATTTCATGAGAGTTAGATCAATGTTAAATAAAAATTGGACACTAAATAATTCGTTGGATCAAGTCTAAAGCACTTGACTTTCAAATCAATAAAGTCAACATATCATGCTCACTACTCCTTTTGCATCAGGCTTGGATAGTTGTCAAATATGATTATTACTAGCTTTCGTACAAAATAGTGTAAGTTTAAGTCTAGTAATTAAACTTGTGGTGTAGACAGTAACTACCAAAGACAGTGAGTGTATGAGGTTGCGCAACTCGGTGAACTGATCGAAGTTAGACGTCGTTAACACCGTTAGATAACACCGGCTTCGTGGTCCAGAGGTTGGGCGTTCACGCGCAATACCGAAGATCCTGGGTTCGAATCCTGTGAGGTGCAGGAGTCATGGATGCACACTGCTGATGAGTCCCATACCAGGACGAAACGGTCGTCCGGTGCTTCCAGGTGTCTAATGGTGGTCTAGCATTGATCGACTCATTATTTCAAATGTGTAACTTATCAATATTCACAATCCCATAATGTAATTACACTTGTACTTGGTAAAATAAATAAGTAAAAATTATTCTATTTCAATAAAATGCCTGCATAATCTTTGAGAAAACAATGATGCATTCACTTGAATAATCTAAGTAATTTCAAATTGAAAAAATATATTTCATAATAGTTGCGCAATTGATTGGTTTCAGAATAGAATAGCTAACACTAATTTGGATTTAAATACTACTTACTTTAAGTTAATGCAAATAATTCGTAATGTTGAAAAATCAGTTTACTATTTTTAAATAAACAATACTACCAATTAGATTTCCCCGTGACCTAATATATATATGACCACGAGTTGATCATGTGATCATATTATCAGTGATAGAATGATTTTAAAAAAAAACTTTCTCGTATAAAGGTGATGAATACAATAATTTGTTAAAGATAATATTTACGTTGGTGACTGAAATGTTTCAGGTCAGGGGATGATCTAGGTCATTTGATAAGTAAAGAACTTTAAGATGACCAATTTAAGTGATAACCAGTATCATCAAAATACAAACATGGCTTCACCTCGAAATAATCACCGAGTACCAATCATTCTAGGATGAAACCTTTTCAGTATAAATGTATGCATTCATGTGATCCTGATATCTTATCACAACTTTTCTATACAAAGATGCAACTATTCCACTCTCTCGTAACCTCGGCTACCTCATTATATTGTCAATTACAATCAGCGATTATTAGTTAGAGAATTTCTCACACTGAACAATTGTCACAGGACCTAAAGTCACCTTAAACTAATGTGATTCGTTGGATTAAATTTTTCTTAATAAGTTGTATTTAAACTTCGCCTGTAACCCTTCGGGGCTACTGCCCTGTCCCAAGCCCAGATAAAGGAGGAGGGTTGGTGACCCCATCACGCAAAAAAACTTACTCGCTAAAAAAAAACATTAATATGAAAATATAATTCAAACCATATAAACTCTGCTATGTGAGTTAGAAGGTCTTCATCTAGAAGAGTTATGATGTCTCATGATGAAAGCCGATTTCCTTCGGAAGTCATGAAGCCGATGCCCCTTCTGACAACCAGAACGCTTCCACGGTGTATTTGAGGGTTTAACATACCCTAATCCCAACAAACCTCAGTAGTCCTACTGAACTCCAAATCATAATGCCTGACCGAAACCAAGTTATTATTTATTATGCTACTAAACCAAAATTCAACAATGTACATTTCAAACAAACATTCAAATGACAATTATATAATTTAAACAAACAAAATAACTAAGTAGTCTATATACATCACTATATGAAAGTTTTAGACAACTGACAGATTAAAGATTGGACATTTGATAGATTTTTTCTCATATTGAAATTATGAATCAATCAATGTTGAACAACCATTAGAAAACTGGAAGCACTGGACAGCTGTTTCATCCTGGTACAGGACTTATCAGCAGTGCGCATCTACGACTCTCGCTACTCGCAGGATTGTCCATTGTCATCATTAAAAATCTATGAGTAATATCATTCAATTCTAAATAAATAGTTGATTAGTTTATCAAATTGAAATAGGGAAAAATTCACAAGACAAGTGGTTATCATGATAATTTTAATTGCATAAGTCTTAATACAAGACTAAAAGTTTGTTGGAATAATATTTATATGAGTTAAATAGCATTTATATTCCGATTGAAAAATGAACTGTATCTGAACAGATGTCCAACGTTTTAAATTTTCTAGAAAATTCCACCTTTAATTGTGATAAAAAAAACTAGTCTGTTAGCAGTAGCGGTAGTAGTAGTAGTAGCTGGCTTTAATTTCTTACTTTAATAATCATTTACAGACAGATAACAGCATTTTTAACTATATCTAAAACAAAATATTGTTTTGATTTAAATTGTTCAAAAAGAGTATTTATTGAATATTGAATGATAAATTAAGATGGAATATTTTATTATTCCAATCTTGGAACATTTAATCATTTGTCTGATATTAATTAGTTGGATTAGTTTGAAAAGAACATTTTGTTTATTAAAATTGGTACGTTCTTTTTTAATATAGAAAATATAAGTCGTGATTATCAGTCAGTCAAGTACAGCGTAGAACTTCGTAAGTATGTACATTGGTTCAAGTTGCCATACCACATTAGCACAAAGACGCTATTGTCGATTCAAATAGCATGGTAGTAGATGTAGTAGAAGTATTAGCGGTAATCGAAAAGAATAGGGATCGAAGATATTACTCAAGAATTATAATCCAGCGAAATGAATTTCAGAAGAGAAAAATAGAGGAGATGAGAAATTCAGAAGATTAAAATTTGAAAGGTCACAAAGAATGGATGCACCTGCGCCATTGCAAACGATTTTGAACAATGTCATTCAAGGTCTGTAACCATCGGTTACTATTGTCTCGCGGACTTTAACCAGGTAGTCTACACCTACAAACATGGCCCAGTTCACTTATCAACGACTTCATGGATTTCTACCATGTTTTGGTTTGGCTGCCCCTAGCTTTCTTCCAGCCTGGACCTACATCACAAAATACAGTTTGTCGGGGCAGTCGGTGGTTGTGCATACGTAACACATGTCCCAACCACCTCAACTGATCAAGTTTCATTACTTCATCTATTGATATGCCAACCTTACTTAGTAATCGTTTCCTAACACCAGCACTGCTTACTCAGTGGTCCCATGATCTAAGTCTCGACTATAGATTGATAGTTAATTAGTATCAGACAGACAGGTATATATTATAAACATAGAACATTGTATAGATGTGTATTAACCCAAGTTGATATTATATTAGCATGATGAAATAAGAAACAATAAGATAAATAGTATATGAGTCTAAGTTCTGTAGTAGCGGTAACAGTAGTAGTACTGATACTAAATACTGGGATTATCATTTGAAAAGGGCATTTTTAACATTCATTGAGAACTGCAACACTAGTACGTGCATGATGAAAAATGAAGCTACTTTTTTAGAGTGACGGTTTAGATGAATGCATAAGACATCACAAATGATTTGCTGTAGTACCCTATGGGAATGAACTAGACTGTATTTGCTTTGGCGTCCATAGAGTAAGTATTACCAGTTTTCGGATTTAAAGTATGATTCAAAGCCATGTATACAAACCTGTACTTGGTAAATAAGATTTTTGAAACAAAAAACATTTCACAACACTGTATGTTTTTGACAAATCTCAAACCAGAACAAAACAGTTAGCGAAAAATTTTACCTTTAGAAAATAAACATAAACTACAAAACAGTAACTCCTTTTTCTATAAACTATGATAGCATAGTGTAAAGACAAAACTTATTAACATTAAACGATAAGAAGTTGGAAAAAAACGACAAATTGTAAACATGAATAACTTTAATTTCAATGCAATCCCAATTAACTAACTTGGAAGAAGTCGTAACTGCCATACGTGCTCTAGCAACATCAAGTGGATATGTACACATAACTGATGTTGTCCCAGCTCCAACACCAGCAATAAATTGTCGTAGACGTATAAATGAAACTTGTCTATATAAGCAAAGGAAAAACAAAAAACTGAAGGTTACATATGGTAAAATTACAGGTGTATGCAACTAGGCAGAACTAAACATCAGAAATTAAACTCCCTCCATAGACTGATCTATATGTGTAAGAGCTAATGACTTACTAATATCAGAAAAAAAAAGGATTTCAAATAAGTGATTGGGTTGATACTAGAAATTTCTGGAGAAATAAAACAAAGTTTCAGCAGGACCGCCAGTGACTTTTGTTCTGAAACATGTCAGGTGACGTGTGAAGTCACTGAGTTGCACCATCTCTAGGACAATAATTAGGGAGTAGTGAAGGGCCAACAGACAACAGTCCTGTACAGCTATCTTTCATACGGTGATCAAACACAAAAATCTTGCTAATATTTCTAGCTCGGACGGACCAGGTTTGACAAGCACATAGGAAAACCTCCAGGATAGCATCACGAAAGTGCCAAAGATGGCCCACATTGGTTTAAACCGTTCTGGCTTTCACTATAAGTAAATCGATCTCAGCATTTACCTACACAGCTACTCAGGTACATGAAATTTTCGACTACTTCTATTTGCCCACTACCACGAGTGAGAGCAGGTTCAGGGTCCTGGTGGTCTTGTAGAAATACTTTGGGCTTAGAAGGTGCAAAGCATATTCCATACTTATGGACACTGACTGTCGAATTGCGGATCCATGGCTTGGGAATCTTCTCATAGTATAACATTGTAATCAGCATACTCAAGGTTGAAAAGTCTTCCTCCGGATAAAAGATCCACATCACTATTATCTACATCCATTAGAGCTGTTTCAATAACATCATCGATGGAAAAATTGGGGAAGCATGGCGAGATTGGGCAAACCTACCTAACCCCACTGCTCGAATGAAACAATGGAGAGAGGTGTTTGTATGCCTTCACTCTACCTGATGTGCTTATACATAAGGCCTTCAGGAAGTTAATAAACTTCTCAGACACACCATTCTTTAATAGACAAAACCAGAGAACAGTCCTGTCCAACGAACCGAGGGCGGTCCTGATGTCAAGAAATACAGTAATTGCTAGCTTGCAACAAGTATGAAGATGTCCTAACATTTGGCGGAGGGACAACTATCGGCTCATTTACGATGTTAGAACACTCTCTAATTGCCAAACAGTTGTAAGCAACTCAATCTCACGGTCAGAAGATCGCCAACATCTATAAAAAGGGAGAAGGACTGGGTGTTATGATTTTTGGTGCTTCAAGAATTGGAGTTCTTTGCGGATTTTCGTCTTGTTGGGTGGACCAATCGTCACCGACCATGGAGAACATGACAGTCTGATCGATATCGCCAGAGCGGCAGACCTACTGAACTGTTCCCCGAAAAACTGTCCATCATTCAAGACGGATTTTACTGACTGATGTCCCATCAACTTCAGAGATTGTTCCACTCATACCGGAATTCTTGCTGCTAGTGGCTCAACTGAGCTGAAGGAGCTTGCAACAGTTACTGGATGTAGTTGATGCTGCTAACTTGTTGGCACACTTCAACCACCGGGTTTCTCAGCCGTCACGCAAACTTTGGAGTATTTGATTATGTAAGTCTTCTCTTATCGTCTAGCCAGCGGTTACCATGTAAGCGACTTTACTCACCATTTTCGTGGTGTCGTGCAACTGCAGCTAGTGATAATCTGTACTTTTCGGTTGTTCGATAGCCAGCCTTGAACATAGCTCGGTTTGATATTTAGTTGCAACAGAAACTACAATCAATTTACTAATACCAGTTCGTTTAGGAAGATGAATTTTTTAGTAACTGAGACATTAGACTAGCGCGAATGAGGGAATGATCAGAGTCCATATAAGCAGTTCAAAAGAAGTGGAAGTCTTGTACACAACCATGCCAGCGGTAACGTCGTGATGTGATCAGTTCGAGTCCAGAGGGAGGATGCCAGGTAGCACATAAACGATTATTGTGCCAATAGTAAATGGTAGCCAGAAACAGGTTGCAGTCTTTGCAAAGTTGCAGTAGACGATCGTCGTTATCTAACCTATGACCAACAAGTGCTCACTGACAACCCAGACGACTTTCCTTTATGTCTAGACGCCCGACCTGTGCATTGAGGTCTTCGGCTAGTTCCACGATATCTGTCAAACGCAGTCTGGAGACCACTTAACTAGCGGTAAAACTTATTCTTGATTGCATCCGGGCTGAAATCTGTTACGGCGTAGTAGATAACGAAAAAACATCGTTTCTCATACCGATTTCTTCTCACTTTGATAGAGTTTTCTAATCTAACAGTGCATAATCGACTGTTAACGATGACCCTATGTCGGAACTTGCTAAAGATACAGCTAACCCTATCTGTTGTCCGAACTGCGATAGTGTGATAACGTTGAAAGAGACCAATTTGAATAACATACTGTTTCAGAAAGACTGATTCATAATTTGTAATCGGTAGTAGCATTCGAATTTCGACCAATCACTGACTTCAGATCGTTTAGATAGGACAAGATTTCTACTCTAAGCGAGATGCTGTATGAATTGAAGAGTGGAGAATACCCAAAATAGAGATAAAGGAATACATAAGTGGCACAGTGTGAAATATAAACGAACTTTATCAAGTATTCGTAAGTACGATTTGTGAGGATGGGGGTTGAAGCGCGCACAGAATCTCGCACTACTGTCATTATGTAGTTTGTGTGTGGGCTATGATATTACTTGAGTGATCAAACCGAGGCGGATGGCTTTCCTGTCGCCGAGCCTGTGACCAAGAGGCCTAATCCACAGGGCAGTGAAGCAATATCACGAGCTGCAGTCCCTTGATAGTTGGTGACCAACAACAAGGTTTATACACCATTCGTTTCATAAAAATCCTGGGGCCTACGTGCACCATTGACTTGGAATCAATCTTTTTCAACTCCCCTAGGCAGATTCTCCGTTTCCACCAGGATCGGTTAAAGCGCCAGACATTCACTTTTCGTTCTCTTAATTTCGTAAATAACATCCTCACCACAAGAAAAAAGAATAGGGATTCCCTGGTAGTGGCTATATATGTATGGCCACATGAGGACATTTCGAGAGAGAGAGCAGACTATCCACACTCTCGACGGTACCGGGAGCAAAATTAGGTCATGACATAAATTAGTTGTGAGATCCAGAGAAATAGACGCCAAATAATCCTGGGCTCTCGAGCAATATATTTAAACGATTTTAAACTTCATTAATGTCTTTATCACAACGGAAGCACTGATGCTGCTTCCCGTGGCTTTGCTGGTGTAGGTATAGTATTAAGTCCTAGGACAGAACTATATCTCTTAGACTGGATCACAGTAAACAGTCGCTTATGCGCTGTCCGAATAAACGGGACGGTGCGGACTCGTAAAGATAGGGAAACTCGCCGTTGCCTCTTCGTCGTATCTGTCTACGCTCCTACTGACTGCAGTTCAGACAACATAAGAGATGTGTAAGAGAGAGCTTTCGGACCGTCAAAAAGTTAAGCGCTCTGATATAATAATAACAGCTTGTTATTTTAATGCTCAAACAGGTAGACTGAGTGAAAAGGAAAGACATCTGGATGTAACTTATGGTATTGCAGCTAATAGAACAGATCATGGCGACCGTCTGTAGCAAATATGCTCAGATAACCGCCTATTTCTAGCAAATACTTACTTTAAGCATAAGGAAAAACATCTTTAGACCTGGGGACCCCCAAAGTCATCCCAACGCTGGACCCGACTAGACCACATCACTATCAGCTACCTATGGAGGTGTTCGATAGAGGACTGTCGCTCGTATTGCGGCACATGTTTAGATACAAAACATGCTTTAGTGCGAGCGCGTATTTGTTTGCGACTTATTGGACGTAGGAAAGACACCGCAAGGAAACCTCTTCGGGTTCTACTTAATTTATTATAATTATATTTCAGGAACGAGAAAAAAAGTTAGGCAGCCATGTAGTAAGTGATGCTCACCATAAGGCAACTTGGAATGTTATTCAAAAAGCTATGGAGACAGCAGTGATATCTGCCAGCGAGGTAAGCCATAAGGTTTGTGAGAAGCGGTGGATTTCAGTAGCATCTACCAAACCAATGGACGCTCGGAGGCTCGACCCATCTGGCTCTGAGTATGATGGGAAACGGAGTCAGCTTAGGCGCAGGCTGATAAAAAGCCTACGCAACGACCGCGAACAGTGGTGGATGGTGGAAGTGAAAGCGATGGAAAAGGAAGCGGCAATAGGCAACAGCAAACAACTATTCAGACGAATCAGGTAGACCGGTATTAGGAACCCGAATGTAAATGAGGCTATTTCGGAAAAGGATGGTCTTATTACTCATTCTCAATCCAGGAGATTGGATCGATGGGCAAAACACTTTACGGATCAGTTAAACTGGCCTTCAGCCACACTTTGGTTCCCCACGATCTCCGGTCACCCCGAAAGGCGAATCGATTTAAGTCCTCCTAGTCTTTATGAAGTTGAGAAAGCTATAGGAAATCTGAAGCGAGGTAGAGTAGCATGTCCTGACAGATTGACCCCTGAGATTTTTAAAGGATGGTGGTCCAGCTTTAACAGTTAGAGTAACTGAGATCTTCGATAGAATCTGGGAGCTGAGCGTAATCCCATCTTAATGGTCTCAACCAGTGATTGTCTCAGTCTGCAAAAAAGTACTGAGGTCCTCTTGTGACAATCACAGAAGAATCAGTCCTAAACTGTTGGCCTCGATTATCCTTAGACGCCTAACTAGAGGTCGTGAAGTACAGACTAGAGAAAACCAGGCTGGTTTTCGACCTGGACCTCGCTGTATAGACCACATTTTCACACAACGACAGGTCCTGGAACACAGACACATAGAGGCATCTGACAGTATTCGTCTTCTGGGACTTTATGGCGGTGTTTGACTGTGTGGATCGTGAGGTTGTGGCAGTGTCTGTCATTGAAAAGTGTACCAAAGAATTACAAACCTTATGCAACCTCTCCACTCGAACACCACTGGTCGGGTGAGAGCCTTAGCGAACTGTCGTCAGGATTCTTTACTTCAAGTGGTGTCCGTCAGAGTTGTCCAATCTCTCCATTCCTGTTTAACTTTGTCGTAGACAAGCTTTTCGAACAGTGAACCAATAATTCGTGGTTTTTTTAAGTTTGCGAAAGCGAACATTTATCACCTAACCAAGGTTATAACCGGACTCATTGTTACGGCCAAACAGTTTAATGCACTAGTTCTGTACAGAAGCCGGTTAAACGATACCGGAGTCCTGCAGACCAATGCTTGTTACAAATTCTGTACAGAACCAGGAAATTAGACAGATTAAAAACAATCCGTTCCAGTAGTGAGACCATGACCTTGAGAATCACCGTTATGTTTTAGTGAGACTTAAACTTGTTAAAAACAAGTAAACGAAAGGTGAATGATATAACCACACTTTGTTTGATGAGTTTGTAGAACAAGCTTTGCCTTACATAACATGCACTACCGGCAAGCTCAACATTCGAATGGTACATAGTTAAATCAAAGTTTCTTAATCTTGAGAACGGTATTAACAATGAGCTCCAAACTTTTCAAGCTTTTCATAGGATTAATAAGTCTTTGAGTACTATTAAAAGACTGTCAGCTAATTGTATAAGAAAGTGAGGTGAGCACACTATTACTCTACACATTGCAGACACTTTCCGGTTAAATAAAATAGTTAAAACGCTAAGTAAGTTGAGACACTGAGGAGTAGAAATTGTAGAGAAAACCTATTTACATATGATATACTCGTGTTAAGTATGATAAAAAAGAACAAGAACTCACGAATCTCCGGTTGAACTAACTCCAAGTAAATGCTTGTAATGATCATGAGAAGAGTATTGAATAGCAGAATAAGGGAAAATTCTAGCCAGAGTTGCAGTGTTACCACGCCATAAACACATAAAACCTTGTTCTTGATAAGTGTTTTTCAGAAATTGAATAAGACTACGCACATTGAACGGCATACGAGTACCTACGAAAATCAAAGTGAAGATGAAGATCTTACATTGAAAATTTATCTTAGCCCTGTCTAGTGGAGCAATTGTTGTCTTTGCTACGCATCCTGCTAAACCACCTGTCAAAATATTTATGCCAACTGGAACACGGTGACTAGACTTTGTAATTCGTGAAGAGAAAAGTATTAAAACTCACTTCCTTGGGTTTAGTCTCAGGGTGCATAAATATTATTATATTTAACTTCCTATGTGAGACTCGAATATTTAAACTGGAAGTGTCAAGTGAACATTATGACCTTTAATTTCAAATATCAGTCTGACTTTCAGATATCCAATATTCAATATACCTAATATCTTTTTCATGAGCTAGTATAAACCAGTTGATTCAGTTGCGCTCAATTCTTGTTCTTTCTTTGCGGTTTCAGGCGTTTGATAGTTTCCAATGGATCCAATCGGGGCTCTAGCTACTCGACTGCACCAATTGTAGTCACTTGGCCGTAGTTTGTGAGTTTGTATGTCCCGTGATTTGAATGACTGAGTTCATCTCAGGGTAGTGGGGTTTCTGGATACCAGCAGTTGTCACACTACCAGACCGGATATCAGTTATTTGCGGTTTGGGGAAAAATGCTAAAAAGAGTAAAATTTCAGGACTAAGAAAGTAAAGGACAATTCAGTTTATTAATTGATCGTGAAAATTGTGTGAGAGGACCAAAGTGTAATTAAGGGGGAAAACAGAGATAACAGGCGAGATAGATTAGCTTAATAATCTGAGGTGTGGGTGAACGTATTTCTGAAAGAGCGTTAAGAATAATTTTGAGGTGGTTACACTAAAGTGTCTTCGCATAAAGTGAAGAGTTGTATTCGCCTTGGCTGCGTCCCCTATATATTTCTAGCTGGTGTGGAGGCTTTCAAATCAAGATGGCACTGTGAGGAGACATGAGCGAGCGGACTTCCAGTGAGGGTGTATATCGTTTGTGTCATGTGGGGAAGAATGTACATGACGTGACACTTGAGCTGGTTTAGTTTTAAACCGCTTTTCATTGCCAATGCCTCAAGAGATGTAATGTCATTTTGAAGCTCAGTCGAAATCTCTTCTCTTCTTATGCACCTCCAGATCTTCGCATCGTCTGCGTATATCAACGCCGGCGAAATAACTGCGTCTAACAGGTCGTTAATGAATATCAGGTAGAGAAGTGGACCTAAGATGGTCCCCTGTGAAACTCCCGATGTCGAGACTCGTCAGCTCACGAGCAATATACTTACCTTGCTACGAGACTTTCTATTCTCAGAAAGTTTCTGAGTCAAGATAGGAGTGGGTCAGTGAAGCCCATTTCCTCAAACCTTTGCGATCAGGTGTGAGTGGGGCACGGTTTGGAAGGCTTTTGCAAAATCTAGAAATATTACTTGCACCGATATCCTTCGGTCCAAACAGGATGTCAAACTGTCCCATGCTATGAGATTAGATTCGCACAACCTGCCTTTCCGAAACCTCTGTTGAGCTTCATGAAATATTTATTCTTATCCATGTACTCCCTTATCCGTTTGCTCATCAGCCCTTCCTTTACCTTTGATAGTATTTTTGGTAATTCTACTGGTCTGCAATAGGCTGGATCCTTCCTATCTCCCCCTTTGAGGATTTAGAAAGGGTGGCCTTTTTCCATTCGGCTGGGAGTTGGTGTGGCTCCAGTGAATGCCTGAACAGATCACGTATCAGTGAACTGAGGGATTCTGCACGTTGTTTCAAGACTATGGAGCGATTATCGTCACAACCAAGTGACTTTCCTGGGTGTAAGGATTTTAGTTTCCTCAGTCATAAGTAATACGGATATTCCCTAAGCCGTCAGCTGGCACTGGGCTTGCGTAGGACTTTGTAAATGTGGATGACAGGTTTACTGATCGATGAGGTTTGTGTTGAAGATCTCAGCCATTTCTGGGTTGGTTAGTGTTGTAGGATTTAATTTGTCCTACAGATGTACATAAATCCAGCTTTTTACTTCGACTTCTCTTCTATCCACCTGACACTGCACAACTCTCCCTTCTTTTTGCTGTACTCCTTTATCTGTGCGTTATATTCTTATATTCCCATAATTTACCTTAATTTAAGTGGTCAGTATGAATGTTATCTTGACTTACTACTGTATTGACTACTTTAACATGACAGGTTAAGTAGTGCTTTGGTTATATATATACACTTGCCACACTGCTGCCTTTTCCTCTCTCTCTTCTCCTTTTCAGAACCCCATTCACGGTGGGAAATCCTTGGCAACTCTAGGGAACATGCACCCTATGTACATGACTGTCTGGATCACAGCTCGTATCAAGCGCGTTCCATATGACCTTTCCCAACAAATTCACTATTGATCTCGGCCAATCGCCAATAGAACCTATTGTGCACCTTCCTCATTTGTACTCTAATATTGAAAATGTGGCTGTATAATACTGTTTCTGTCAGTGATATGGTGTAAATATGCAATCAGAAACTGTCTCTTATACTTAATTTAACTGCTATAACTTTTACAGTAATTGTAAAAGCATTTGTGACAATTTGATCTAGCCTGTAAACTGGCGTGACTCTTGTAACTTAGTTATTTGAGAATAAATTATTATTATTATTATTATTAAAGGATCCATTCGGATGTTATTTCTTCCAAAATGGTCTTCACAGTGGGTTTCTGAATAGTGTGGAGACAATTCAGGAATCTGATCGGTCTTATGACCCTCCGTAGACATTTGAAGATATTCAGTATATGAACCTTTGATGAAATACTGTCCGAAACTTTGTAGGATTTAATTTGTCCTACAGATGTAATTCTAAAACTTAAACGCAAATGCCGCCGATGACAGAATCCAGAGTGAAACTATAGTTAACAGAAGACAATTTGGTTTTAAACTTTATCTGTTTCTAAACAAAAGAAAACGATTAATTTAGTACAATAAATAAGGAAATTACAATTATCAAGCAAGATGAGCAAACGTACCGGACAGTATAGCGTGTCTTTAGAAAATGAATAAAAAACATGAGTCACAGCAATATAAATAAATAGCAACATCCTTCAATTGATAGACCATTCACATCAAAGAAAGTTTACAGACAGGTCAGACCATATATAGCATGGTGAGCGCTTAACCAATCTGATTGCTTAGTTGTTTCCATAACTACAAGTAATTATGGAGATAACTAACAAGTGTAGAATCTAATTTGAAGGCTTTGTTTTGGGAATATCCCACCATGTATTTATTTGTAAAATGTTCTCACTGACTCTTTCTGTGATACATTTTGGTACTCTGTTTAATCCTATTTTGTGATGTTAATATTTGTATTTTGTTACAGTTTTTTCTGTAACTTTATTGTAGTCTCTATGTATTATACTGAACTGTATTATGTTGTTTAAATTGATACCTACTTATGGCGTCAGCCATATCGGATTTGACACCCTTGGCGGTGAAACTTGAATTTGGACTGGGACGGTGCAATGTTGGACCTATACGGAAGCATTCTTCCGGAAATGGAAACACATTGTGTTAAATTTGAAACAGAACAGTGCAATATTATTTATTTAATGATTTGTAATTTTCAATAATTTATAATTAATAATAGAACGGGTTCTTAACCAGATAAATTGCTTTCTTGTTGGATTAACTGTTCTTCCGAATCTAGAAGCCATTCAAAAACCTTACAGTGAGGCCTTCCCCATTCGGACCTTTGAGAACACAGACCATGTTTCGTAGCTTTCCTTATTGTCATGAACTAAAACAGATACTTAGGGTTTTTCTGTATTTGGACAGACAGCTTCATTTGAAAGCGCATCCCATCACTTCTGTTTCTCAATGCCAGGAAAGAACTATGATCGGAATCATTCAAGGAGACCTCACACTTGTGTCATACTTCTCCTCGCATGTAGCAAGCTTCCACTGTCTCGCCTAATCCATGTTCTGTTTGTCGGGTGTATAGTGAGACTGAGGTACATTGATCATCTGCTGTCAGCCCCCGCCACTCCGGTGGCCATGGGGCATTTAGAAAATTATCTCTCATGTGCGCGTAATTCGCCCTAGTGTAGCAAAGATAGGGATCTTTTTCGTCTTCCTTAAGTGTTTCGTCTGTGACCACGTGGAACAAGACTTTGCCATGATCGCTACTTCCTATTGTTGTACTGACGTGAACATCATCGACCAGGAGCTGATCTGGGTCTGAGGACTTTCCCTCCATAGTTCATCTGTTGGCACTGCATGCACGCTGAGTAAGCCCAGAGCTTCTAATGGCTGCGCTAAGACATCTCTGGAACCAACCAGTGGGATTTGTAACTTGATTGCTGGTATTTAGAAATGGGAAGTTGAAATCTGCAGCTAAGAGTATTAGATAAAACCCCAGGAGTGGCAGTTGCAGTATGACTCAGTAAGCTAATCTTTCTAGACCTTAGTACCTAAGGGAGCTCGGTAAATCCTTCCAATCAAGTATTTCTTGCCACTTGTGGAAACAACACACACATTATTCTGTCACCTCAGTTAGTTAGGTGTCGTATTGCCGTTTGGCTTTTAAATGGCTGTTTATATGTTTAGCCACTCCGCCTCCTGTCTGGTTTATCCCATCGCTTCGTAAGAGTGTCATGTCTTGCAAGCTCTCTTCGTCGTCTTCAATGTCAAAGAATAGCCGAGTTTCAGTTCGGGTTATGATCTTCAGATCCATCTGAGAGCACATATTCCTGATTTCTAACAGCTTATCCCTCAGTCCTCCTACGTCGCCATAGAGGCACTTAATGGTTTGTCTTATCACCTGGTGCACCCCTGCAACAACAGTTGTTGTCAGATTTTCAAGCAAGTTGTTTAAACTGAGTTAGTCAGTTTTGTGAGAGTTGGCCTCTGCAGGAGTTTCACCTGTGCAATGCGTTTAGTCGGCGAGACTTATCTTTGTGTCTTGTGCAGAAGGTTGTTGATCAAAGTCAACTGTAAATTTCGTGCGTTTGCTTTGGGCTCCTTGCTGTTATCTCACATCTGGGTCGGCTTTCGCAACACTTAATCGGGTTAGAGAGGTCATCCTTTGAGCGGCACCAAGCCTGAAGAGCCTCGGTTAGGTCTTCCCGATTCCTGAATTCCACAGCCATCAAACGTGGTGACTTAATGGACGTAAGGTGTGACGAACGAGGCAGCCTAGAAATGCAAAGAGCCTAGGCTATGTGATAGCCATCGCCACTGCTGTTCACCGTGCACGTGAGCTTCATCGAAGCT